ATTTTATCCAAAAATTTTGGGTCGTTTCAAATTAATTTCTCTTACAATTTCTCCGTAATGATTTGTCGTTTTAATTAGGCCTTAAACTATCTTAATATCTTGGGATATATATTTTTTAAAAAAATAGTACTAAGGATCCAAACAAGTTGAATTGGATTAAATGCTCTCACTTTTTGAGTATCTACACATTTTTAATTAATTACCGAACACATGCTAATTAATCCACGATTGTCATGAAAAAATATATATATTTTTTAAACAACAAGAATAAGTAGCTAACTCTAATTAATATCCCCGTGTTAAATATATGTATAAAAACACAAACACACGTGTGTGTGTGTGTGTGTGTATTTGCAGTAAACATATGTTTTATCAGATGAGAGCTTGGTAGGAGGAGAGAGAAGCTGTAATATTTAATAATATTTATCCGTCAAAGTAGAAATATATATTATATTTTATAATAAGCTTATTACATAAATGGGTATTATAGTCCATAATTAAGGGTAATGACACTGTTTGAAGGTAAGATCAAACTTCAAACAAGCTAACCCTTAGATTTATTACATAATTGGGCAGCCTAACTCTAATCAAAACCGAACCTTGGATTACTTTCTTATACTTTCTGACTAATCATATGACGCCGCGTGTCCTGTCCCCAAACGTGGCTTCATGTCGGATCATAAGAAGCAGGGGCCCATACACTGCCAGCTCAGCCCGCGGTCAAACCGTCAAACACACTAAAAAATTGAGTTTGGCGCACGCGCTTCCACGCAACCAATCAAAATCTTCCACGTATTCTGGCTTGTCCGGTAGCCTTTCTATTGGCCAGTGGCTGGCGGCAGTCCCGTGTCATACGTCGCACTGTAGGCGATATTTTAACGTTGACAGTGGGATCGAATCCCATCCGTCGGATTTCAAAGGTTGCCCGAACGATTGAAATTCCTAGATAGAGCTAAAAGTCGCCACGCGTCCTCCATCAATGAATTAAAATTTTGTTTTCTAAAAAGGGAAAGGAATTTTTTGAACAAAAAAGAGGAAAGCAGTTTCTTTAACAATATCAACCGGACAAACGATGACTCTTTACAAAATTACTATTATGCCCTTGCAACTGTCATCCACATTGAACAGTATTAAAATGAGCTCCACTCCAAGATTTGCTAGTTGCTTATACAGATTAATATATATATATATATTTTAATTAGAATTATATTTTTATATTGAAAAAATTATATGGCTATAAGATTTATTGAATAGCTAAAAAATAAGAAATATAGGGTGGAAAGTAATTTTCTAAGCTTTATTGAAGAAAGAAAAAATTTTTAAATTAAATTAAAAAGTAAAAATGAAACAGCACAAAATTTAAAATAATAAAATAAATAAAAAAATAAAAAGTTAGAAAAAGAGTGGAGAAAAGAAAATTTGATTTTAGCAGGATTAGTTAAGTTTCATACATAAGAATAATTATTTTTTAAATTATTTGTAAGTTTATGATAAATAGTGGAAAAATATAGGAAAAATTAACTTTTTTTTTTGTACATAAACATAAATAATAAATTAAAAAAATAATCATATATTATATTACTATATTCATTCAATACATGTTATTTCAATGACTTTAATAATTATAAAAACAATATAAAAAATTTGGTCTCATACTATACATTTTACTAACTTATACAAGTAGTAAACTAGAAGTTCTACCCACTAATCATTTTTTGCTAACAATTTGAAATTCTCTACAAGAACTTTTGTGAAAATACAGAGAAAAAGACAAAGAAGAAGAATAAGAGAGGAGCCTAAATGAGGTAGAGACTAGAAAAATTAGTTGTTTATATGCCTAGGTAGAATGACATTGTTGAATGAGAGAAATTTGGCAATTGACATGAATATTTTTCATAAACCCGATTATTCAATTAAAGTTTGTAAACGTTCTTTCATTTATTATAATTAACACTCGTTTTTATCTGACTTTAAAAATATTTAGAAATTAATTAATATATAATATGAATATTAAAAATAAAAATAAAAACATTAGTTAAACTAATGGTCACATAATGTTTATATAGTTGGTATGCTTTATTCCATTTCCTCAATTTCATTTCTTAAGCTAAAAATATATTATATTATTCTCATACACCCATTAAAAAAAATTCAAAAATAAAAAAAAAAAAATTAAGAAAGTCATAAAATTGCAATTTGCCAATTAAATTTTTTAAGAAACACGTACATGGGTTAAAGTTGCACTTGCATATTTTGTAATTCAGTAAGAGTTTTGTAAATTTGCAATTGAAATGTCTCAAACTAGTTTTCATCTAGCTTGTGGGGTAATATAAAATTTTTCATGTGCTTCATTAAACATAAAACTTATAAGAAAAGAATTAGTAATATACGACTTATTCCTTTCGATGACAATAATTTTTTTTACATAACACGTAAAATTAAAGAGTCTTAAAATTATGCACACACATATATTTATAGAACACATATAATTTTTATGTTTGTGGTTAATAAATATGCATAAAAATATAGAATAAACTTCCTCTGGTCAAATGTAAAGTACATGATAATCATACATTAGGTGTCATGATGGTTGAAAACATAAAGAGAAAGAATCACATGACACTGTTTGGTCCTGCTCAAAATATTATTACGCAGTTAATTGTGGCTATCATTTATCTCTCATACATATAGTAATGTACATATATCTCCATTGCCAGAAAAGAATGGTCAATACAACCTCAATAAAGCTAGTGTATTTGGACTAAAACTTTGATATTATTGTTATTATTATTATTATTATTATTTTATTTTTAATTATGGCTAGAGCAAATGCATGGTTCCATACCTTCCAATCATTACTACTACAAAGAAAATTAACCTAACCTTTTTTTTTTTTTTTTTTTTTTTAATTTTGACTGAGACACCATTTATACAGTAGTACCCTACCATGTATATCAGCAAAATTATAATTTCTAAAGATAATGCAATGTTTTCACATATGAGCATCCTTTGCAAACTGGATTCTCCACGTGGAAATTTTTTATCTTTTAATTTTTTTTCTCAAGAAAAAACAGTAAACATATTTCTAAACTAGTTAACTAATTTGATTACGCGGCTAAATATTTGAGAAATAATTATATATTATTTATATCGTATTATACAACTTACTTTCACAATCTCTAACTCGATTGTTGATAATCCATTATGTTTTCTTTATCAGTAATAGTTATTTTTAACAATTTATATCTTAATTTTAGAAGAAAATTTGGATTATCTAACTATGTTAAGTTTCTATTAAAAGTAGTTATGACCAACTGTTTCTCTAAAAATTTGATTAATAACGAGTATTTCTATGTAATAAATTTAATTCTTAAAAGAAGTCGATAAAGATTGTTGAAGTCAATTTCAACTAGAAAAATTTATAAGTGACTAGTAATATTGTTGATAAGCTGGCAGATAGACTAATAAGTTGTTATGAAGTTTTTTTTTTTTTAAAAAAAAAGTTATAATGAACAAAATAACTAACATTGGATTTCATTCCCTATATAAGTTATATTGTAAAAAGACACTTCAATACTTAAGTGATACGAGAGCAATGTGAGAGAATGTAAAAAAAATATAGAACTAAGAAATATATTTAGAGTATAAGTAATATCTCTATTTTATGTTAATGATTTATAAGGTATAGATGTATATTACTTCTTATAACCACTTGGTAATAAGAGCTTGTAAACATTAAACTTAGTGGAATCTCTCTATCAATTTGAATAATGAATCTTTTTGTTAATTTTTGAATAGTTGGTTTAAAGTAGTGGATCTCTATAATTACAAGATATGTATGTACCCGTCTTTCAGTAAGAATTTGTTGTCTGTGTGTTTTGATTATGTGGGTATTATCAGGTATCTATATATATTGTGTTACTATTTAAAAAAAAAATTAAAAAATAAATAAATCATCTGAGTTGCTAAATATTTATATTAAAGTACCATATCTCAAATTCTAATATTCTATGATATATGATTAAATTCTAATTTACAAAAAAAAAATAATGTATTATGACACAACATAATTGTTTGAGATACATTAAAATACAATTTAATCTTTAAAGGTTAATCAAAGACCTAGTTTTATCAATTTTACATATATATATATATAATTAATTGAATAAATTTGAATTATATGGAAGCACAGGGCTTTTGAAAACAAATACTGTAGCACCTTTACCTTTACGACTATACAATGATATTAGATTCTTGATGGTCACTTCTTTGTTCTTAAATAAAGAATTGGGTAGATACAGCTTACTTTTAATTTTCCATACGTGGTGAATATATATAATCTTGTGAGATCTAATTACCATTAAATATAGTTTTACTGAATTGATAATGTTTACGAAAACTTTAAGATAAATATATAAATGTAGGTACATAATAATTGATGTATTTGAAATTACAGTTTCACCGTCCATACATGCAGGTTCGTAGTTGCACAGTAATTAAACAGATGGCAAATAATATAAGAGACTTTGAATATCCGTACCTTATACCTAATAATAATAGCACACAATTTTAAGAATAAATTTATTAATTTAATTGCAATTATAAAGATGTTGTTTTCACATTTATATGCAGTGGATTGAGGTGAATTGGTTCTGGTCAAATTAAAAGAATGAAAAAAAAAAAAAAAAAAAAAGTTAAAAACAGAGTGGAGAGCTGGAAGATTGAAACAACCCACCAAGTTTCCTTATAATCCACGCTTCTTTCTCTCCAAAAACCAGTATTTAGACCCTTCTGTTCCTCACAACACTCCTTTTTCTCTTAACACCACTTTTCAAGAAAGATCTCAGTTTCAACTTCTCTCTCCTTCTGTTTTTTTTTTTTTTTTTTTTAAAAAAAATATTTTTCTTCTATTTAAACTTAATTGTTGGTTTCTCTGAGGGACTGGGTTTGTTTGTTTTTAAGGAACCCATTTGATTTTCAGGTGAATTTGGCTTTTTTTTTTGCCGAAAACCCAGGAAAGATTTTTAGAGATTGATTTGGTTAGTGGGTTTTAAGAAATGGATAATGTTTCAAAGGATAATACAGAAGATGAGCAGATGGAATTGCCTCCTGGTTTCAGATTCCACCCAACAGATGAGGAGTTGATAAGTCACTACTTATCTCAAAAGGCTCTTGATAGCTGCTTCTGTGCCAGAGCTATTGGTGAGGTTGATTTGAACAAGTGCGAGCCTTGGGATTTGCCTTGTAAGTTTTGTCTGAATTCAAATCTCTTTTACACCCAGAACAAATATATATGTAAGTAACAATTTTTTGGGTTTTGTTGAATGAAGGGAGAGCTAAAATGGGGGAAAAGGAATGGTACTTTTTCTGTGTTAGAGATAGAAAATATCCAACTGGTTTGAGAACAAACAGAGCTACAGAAGCCGGTTATTGGAAAGCAACAGGGAAAGATAGAGAGATTTACAAGGGTAAAACTCTTGTGGGTATGAAGAAAACGTTGGTTTTCTACAAAGGCAGAGCTCCCAAAGGAGAAAAAACCAATTGGGTGATGCATGAATTTCGATTAGAAGGCAAATATTCTATGTATAATTTTCCACAGAGAGCGAAAGTAAAATTTATTTCTATCTCTTTCTTTGTTTCCAAACACCTTTTTAGTTTTGAATATTATTTTGAGATTTCTTTGCTTCTTTTTCTTGTTTTGTTTTTGCAGAACGAATGGGTCATTTGCAGAGTCTTCCAAAAGAGTTGTGGAAACAAGAAAACACATGTGTCGGGGATGGTGCGATTGAGTTCTTATGAAAACAACTTCAGCCCTTCCCTACTTCCTCCATTAATGGATTCTTCTCCATACAACAGCGATACAAGAACAACAACTGTTGGTGAGTCATCTCACGTGACCTGCTTCTCCGACGCCATGGAAACTCAGAGGAAAGTTCAAGAAGACACGATTGATACTTTCAATACTTCTTTCTTACCTTCTTCATCTTCCTCAAATCCCAACTCTGCTACACTCCCTGCTTCACTCCTCATCTCCAAAACTTTACACCCAAACTCATTTTACTGCAATCAGATTCTTCAAACCCACTACCCAGATTCGGTCATGAACCAGGAGCAGTCCATTTTGAAAATGTTAATTGAAAATCAAGGAGTAAACAGCAGGAGAAATCCCAAATCAGAGTTGTCTCAAGATTCCATGGTGTCTAGCCATGAACTCATTCAGAGCTCCCTTGAAGATCCTTCCACTCCAGCAGGACCAGTAGATTTATATTGCCTCTGGAACTATTGAATTTCAAAGATGTGGATTTATTGTTTGGTATACAAAATTATGGTGTGTGAATAGATTGTGTAAGTTAAATCCGAATAATATAGAGAGAGAGAGAGAAAAAAAAAAAAAGGTGAAAAGGTTAAGCATGTAAAGTAAGTTAAGTGGAATATTTCTACAGTTTCCTTCTCCTGTATTTTGTTTTTACTCATTGAAAATTAATTGTCAAAAATTGCTTGTATACAAACATTTTTGACTATGCCTTTTAAGTAATATAAGCTACCAGCCTTGTGGGTTTATTGTACTTGTCAGTTCCAAATTTCTACATTCTTTTTAATTTATAGTTTTAAAGAAGAAAAAAGACTTTGATTGATGCAAATTAGACAAGTTCAACGAAGAGATTAGTTGGTGATAGTAAAATTCACTTGTTTAAAACTTTCTTTATTTGTAAAATTCTGAGAATCAATACCGCAGCTTGGTTTTTCTGGTAGATTTATTAGCAGTGATATCTGGGTTTTTTTTTTTTTTTTTTTTGTCTGTATGCGTGCAGAGGAGTAATATCGTATGTTAGGCCACCAACCAAGAGTTTTACGAGTGTTTTTCTTTGTGTAAAAAAAAAAAAAAAAAAAAAGAAAATTAACGTATCGTATTATCATATAATTAAAAGTAAAATATTAATTTTCTTTTTTTTAATAAAAAAATGGATCTAGTTTGTCTTTTCAAAAGCTTTACATAATATATATTGTAGTTGTTTCAATGGCCGCCATAGATGTAATTTCTTGAAGAAGAATTTGCAGGGTAATGAATTATTGAGAGGAGAGACAAGTACAAGGGAGAGAAGTCGTCAATGGAGATGGTAAGGAGGAGGCACACGTGATATCATTATTGGATTTTAACAAAAAGTTTTGACTTAAACAGGATATTTTTTTACATGGCAAGTTTTTGATTGATAAGATGTTGATTTTTTAATTCTTTAATTTTTATAAATAATTTATTAGTAATCAAATTTCTTTGTATTAAAAATTAATCCAAAAATATATGGAGAAGGAAAAAAAGAAAGAAAATTGTTTTAGTCCAGTTACATCCCCTCTTTTTTTTTTTTTTTTTTTTTTTTTTTGGGCAAAATCATTTTGTAGCCTAACTCAAATCTGAAATCAACTGAGTTAATTTAATAGAGTAATTAATTATAAATTTGTCAACATTATGTTGTATGAATTAATGCAATTAACAACATCATTAGAGTCAGTGTATCTTGATTACACCATAATAACGATTAGTTTTTTCAAGTAAAAACTGATTTTGATTCACTACAATAAAAAGGGAAAAATTAATTGACAAAATTTAATAATCAAAATTGAAGAGGTGTGTGTGGATTAGGGCATTTTTCTATGATGCAGAGTACTGTGGTTATTTAATGTACACCTAACTTTCAATACTCTGTTTATCTTGTATATATATAATATTAAATCATCATAAATAGGTTAAAGGAATTTTATAACAGCTGCTAACCTAATAACAACTCTCTTCTTTGTCCAAAGCCTAAAAGCACTTATTCCCTCTTGATGGAATCAAGTCAACAAATTTGAAAATTTATTAAAAAAAAAAAAAAAACACTCCAGTAATCTGTGGACTTGACATTATCATTTATGAGTAAAATTACCCAATTGTCTAATCCTTGCACGTAATCCATTCTTACCATATCTACAAATATTTTATTATTTTCTTGTCTTTTAGTGCCAATTCAATTCAAATTTGTGATTTAGTTTATTTTAATTATTATTTTTTTTGGGGTATGTAATAATATTAATTAGTAATTTCTTACCAAAAAAAAAAAAAAATTCTTTAAATTTGGCCTCTTCTCCTATAATTAGCTAATGAGATGTTCCAAACACGTGAGACAAATACTCAATTAAAGTATCAGTTTTAATGCTTAAAGTATTAAAGTAGTCCAAATTTCATTTCTTAATTATTGAGTAGTTAAATTTCTATAATATAATTTAAATTTTGAGCATGCATTAATTTTGTAAAATTTAGATCCAAATAATAATAAAAAAAAAGCATGAAAATTCAATTCTAAATATTGTTTGTTTTATGAAATTTTAATATCAAAGGTACATTTTTAACCATATAAAATGTACACAAATTACTTAAGAATCATCACCTAAATTCTAATAATTTAAATATCATAAGCTCTCTTCTTCTCTCATTTTCTCTCTTCCAAGCTGCTATTATAATTTCATTGTTAAAAAAACTTTTCTTTAATTTTAAGGCCCAAATGGAAGACATGTCTCTTTTTTTTTTTTTTTTTTTTGCCATGTGTCCCTAATTAAAGGATTATATATTTTATTTGCATCGAATATAAATATACTTAAAGTTAAGTAAATCTTCTTGAATAATTTAAAATAAATTTACAATTATTTAAAAACTTCTTGGAGATCCTGACTCTTTTTTTTATTATTTTTTATTATAAAGCGGTCATGTTTGTATATTATTCTTATTAGTAGAATCTTTCTAATAAGACACAAATACTTGGAACTAATCCCTTCCACATTTACTTAATTAATAGTTAAAATAGGATTAGTGAAAATCATATCTTTATTTTTTAATCTCATTTTTTTAAAAAAAAAAATAATAATAATAATAAACAAGTGATTAGAGCTTTACACGTGAATAAGCCTACCAACACCTACAAGCTTCTAATCTTACTCATACCATTCCCCACTAACATCATTCTCGTAAGGTTTGAATTTTTTACTCACTTAATTATTTATTAAATCAAGAAAAAATTTACCTTTTTATTTTTTAATTACTGCTTTCGAGAAAAGAGCAAAATTACTAATAAACCCACGCCAATGAATTTTGCATTGAAATCATGTGAAAATTTAAAATTTTATTCCCAAAAAAGGAATTGGCTGCTGAGACAAGAGTCCGTGGGCCACAGGTCAGGAGAGTTAGGCAGGAGGTGGGTCCCGCTTTCTGGCCTCAACGGTCGAGACGTGGCATGTGGGTCCCCTTATCCACTCTCCTCACATCGTTATGGGACACGACGGTTCAGGTCGCAGGTTTTGCTTACATCATCACCAGCCTGGACCCACCAATCTGTTATCTCAGACAGTTGTCAAATGGTATGTTCCCGCCACGTCATATTTGTATTTTAGCTTCCCGGGACCTAGATTTGCCACGTGGTGGTAACTGAATGATGAAAGCGCGTGCTTCAAACACCGGGGCGGGCCCCAATCAAATCGTCAGCTCTTCTCCTTGTAGTTCTTCAGGAATATCAAATCATAAGGCCACAGGCTCTCTTTCATTGGTCAAGAATTTCATTATTTCGATTTTGTATAGTTTTTTCAAATTCGCTTACACATTACTATTTTATTCTAAAAAATTATTACACTTTTATGATTTAATTTAATTTTTTGTTACAATCAAAATCTGGAATTACCAAAAATTATTCCAGTTAAATTATTTTAATCTTGATTAAGAAATTTCATTCTTATAAGTTAATTTTGTTGTACGAAACCAATATGTTAATTTTATGTCACAATGTAACAAAAATATTATAAGTAATTTATTATTTCAATCTATAAATTTTGTCCTTATTGTAATTTAATCTCAAAAATATATTTTTATTATAATTTAATTTTTTAATTTTAATGCTATTCGAGAACAATATTTCCGCATACATTATTTCCTTCTAAATGAAAAAAGCATGGCCAATTTAACTCTATTTTAAAAAAAAATAATAATAAATGAAGAAATATAGACACTACCAATTAGGGTTTTTCTTTTTTTTTTTTTCTTTTTTCTCTAAAATTATACTATACATTTATGCATCAACAGCTTCTTCTCCATGGTACTGGCAAGATTTACACAAAACAACTACAGTGAAAATGAGGTTGGATAAGAGTTTTTAAGGGCAGGAAATTAAAAATGAAAAAAGAGAGCATCATACTCTAGATGGGGATGGGGGATTTTGGATTTCGAAACTAGAAGGAGATTTCACGTGAGAGTTTTAAAATAAAAATTAATAAAGAGACTCGCAATTGAGAGAACTTTCTTAATCTTTCAACCTTACATATTAGTTCAAGGTGTAAGGTCTTTTTCTTCTCTATTTCTATAATGCTAAATTGAAACCAACAAAAAATAGAGAGGCTCGTGGTCAATTTTATAAAAAAGCCATGATTTAAAGTTTGCAAAAAAAAATATGAAGATTATAGGTAGTTGTTGAATGACTATGAGAAGTTTAAGGGTAAATATTTGACTCTTTACATCTCCCTCTCTTTTTTTTTTAATTATTCCTTGTTTAATACTATCTTGGTAATAATATACCGAGCAAGAACTGGGTGAGTACATATTTGAACACTTGATTGTTAGGCTCCTTATTTTAAGACTTTTATTTTATGCTCGATTAATGATAAGAAAATATTGGTTAAATAGTTCAATATATCTGTGTGTTCATAAAGTACCCGTTTAAGTATATAATTAGATTTTTTTTAAGGTGCATTAGTTTTATTTATTTATTTTCTTTGTTATCTCCAAATGTTATTGGTCATTCTAATATTGCTTATTGCTTTTGAAAAATGCCCTTAATATATGGCTTACATTTGTTTACTTTCGATGCATATGTCATCTGATTGAAAAATATTAAAAAGTTGATTAATTGATTATATTTATTGTCATAGGAAAGATTTTGGTTAAGATATATAAAAATAGGAACTTATAGTTTGTTCTTCAAAAATTTTATTTACAAAGACTAAATATTGACTTGATAGAATAAGACGAATATATATTATGCTATTAGAGAACATGAGAAGTTCATGTCTCACATTGATTGATAATAACTTATACTTAAATTTTTGGTATAATTATGGAATGAATAAATTGATTCAAACAACATGTTGCT